CCCCAAAACCCCAAAACCCCAAAACCCCAAAACCCCTCCTTGGAATTAACTTTTTGAAAAATTAGAATTCTTAAAAATGTCTGCGATTCTGAAAGAAGTTCATACCAACCTAGAGATGCTACTCAAAAGCTTGAAAACGTAAGAACAAGTCCTTATCCTTAGATTCAGCAAGGAATTCAGCACCACAAGCAAGGAGTACCAAAAACAGAAGGAGAAGGTCGATCAGGAGTATTATGAGCAGAAAGACTTAGCTGTTGATGTCATACATGAACTTGCCCTCTCAGCTTGGTACTTCGTAGGTTAATCCTTAGATACACCAATGATATCGCCCAATTACCTCTTTGTATGATCAAGAATCATGTCAAGAATATGGATAAAATGATGAAGAAAATGAATGAGTTCATCGATGACATTACTGAGTACAAAAATCTCCTAACTTTTATAGTGGCAAAAAACAAGAAGATAAGATCATCCTCTCCTCAGATGATGAGCCTGAAGAGACCAAGTTCCCAAAATTTGAGTTTGACCCTCCTCTTCCTCAGAAAAAGTACTTTATGGTTTTGATTTAGCTTACTAATATTTTTAAATTTAGAAATCTAAAAATACCAGCAGGGAAACCAGCTTTTAAGCATGTTAATTTTTATGGGAGGCTACCCAGAAAGAGTGGCAAGGTAAGGGTTTTGTTAAAAGAATGAATAAATCCATCAGCCATTATTCTTAATTCTTTGTAGAAGCAGTTTGAAGCAGGATGAAAAGTAGTAGCAAATCAGTTTGAGAAACATTTCTTCCCACAAATCCTTCTATTAGCAGATTACAAAGAGATAAAGATGGAATTTGACCAATCAGGGGAATTCCTGATCGGAAGATTCGAGATCCTAAGCTCCAAATGGATGAGATTCTGGGAAGAAATGAAAAAGCTCAAAGAATCACTAAAATCCCAAAAAATACTCCTCCAATTCACCAACAACGCTTCCAAAGACTGGGAGGACATATCCAAATCCCAGCTATCGAAAGTCAAATTCACAAAACCAAAATTCACCCAAACACTAAAAAATCTCTCTTACATAATCTAAATCTCCTAAATTTCAGCCAAATTTCCCCACTCAGGGGTTTTGGGGTTTTGGGGTTTTGGGGTTTTGGGGTTTTGGGG